CGAACGCTTTGGCGTCGCTTTTTACTCGACTTAGTAGGACGCGCTTTGTGTCATCATTCCGTAAGGCGTTGTCTTTGCAATAAGACAGAATGTCCTGTACAAACTCCACGGGATTTTCATGGGGTAACCCACTAAAGGTACTTAGCCAAGGGCTATTTAAATCGGCTTGGAGCCGCATTTGGCTTACTAAATTAGCCAATACTATATACAAGTCGGGGTTTTGGGCCACCGTCTGGCCAAAACTACTGTGGGCAAGGGGAGCCTCTCTGGGCGCCATTTCAGTGCCGCAAGTGTTCCTGTGATTGAATACAATTGGCTCATTTTGACTTGGTGCTGTTTTTCCTATGGAGGAGGCTCCATTTCGGATAGCGTCTCCGTAGTCTGGCATTGCGCTTGGACGCATTCGACTGCCCCAGGAGGTAGCTATATTTTTTATAGTATCTCTTTGGTCTGGCATTGCGTTCTGTCGCATTTGATTGCCCCAGGAGGCGGTATTAGTTTGGGGAGCTTCCCCGAAGGTTTGAGCACCTGGTGCTAACGTGTATTCTTTCTTTTCTGAATTCCCCACCAGGGATGCCATGTCGCGCAATAAGCTTTTCTTAGCTTCTATTTCTTTATATTGTCTGAACTCCTCGAGTTCGGCAAAAAGGGAGTGATGAAAATTAAGTTCCGCTGCGTCGGGCGGACTTAGACTTGTTGGGTCGTTAATTTCACATTCCGATACAGTCGCCGGAATGGGGCCTTGAGTAAGAATAGTATCCAACTCGTCTAGAGTGGCGCCGTAGATGTCTGGACTGTATCTGTCCATTATTTTTTGTCGGAGTCTAAAGTCAGTTCGGGATGCCAGTTGTTTTTTGGGGTTGAACAACAACCCGTTTCGTTTCTCACGGTGTACGTACAACTTCTCCGTTGTACTGAGAGGAGGTCCCGCCAAAACCACCCCGCTGGTTCTTTAAGGGCTTGCGAACCAGCAGCCTCCAGAAAAAAGGAAGTGAGAATTGACGTAGTTATCGTGAATGGTATCAGGGCTCCAACTCGGTTTTTTGGAAGTCCGAGGGGCCAACGTGGTATTTACACGCTGTCTGGAAACTTCTATTTACAACGACAGAACGTTGAACTCAGATGGCACTCTGAGGAAACCGTTGAGCGGCTTCGAGAAGTTAAGTGACAAATAAAAACACGGGGGAACAAAAACGGTGCACCAGGTCCGAAAACCAGTCTAAACTTTGAAGGTTCGTGTGTTTTTTAGTCAATTTTCGTCTATCTGTAGTGAAAAAAGAGGTTTTCCTAAAAACCCTCCATAAAATTCAAGCTAGAGGTAATCTCGGCTTTTGCCTTCTTATAAGATTCTGTTCTAACTTGGTGAAGCTATCTTGCTTTTAAGTCAAATTAAAATGAAGTATCACAAAAATTGTCCCCTCGGTTGCATCTTTGCGAAGGACTGTAAATGTTTGAAAGATTGGATAGAAATTTTTCAAGTGCAATATTCATGACTTGAAATATTCCTGGAAATTTTGAAACCTTCAATAACAAAAAGTAAATAAATAAGAGAATCTTTTTGAATTAAATTAAATAACATAAATATTGAATGCAAAATTAAATTAAATGCCTGAGAACCCACCTCTAGACTGCGTTGAAAACGGACTTTGATTGATAAAAGAGAAACATTTTCTATGGTAAAAATTACTTATAGGAGTCATAGGAAACCAAATTATACACACTGTACAATGCTTTTTACAGCTTCAGTCAAGAATGAATAGATGCAATTATTAATTTGCTATTATAAAAATGAAACTATTTTTTTTTGTGTGTGAGGATAGGCAAAGAAAATAGGTAGGTAAATTATTTCAAAAAAAAATATAGCTCAGCTGCTCTGTAATTATTTTCTATTATGGTGTGAATGACAGAAGTTCTCCAAATGAAGGAATCGTTTGTCGATCCAGGATATCTTGCATTCACATTGAATATTTCGAGATTTGGGCCACATATAATTTGGACATTTTTGGAATGGAACCCCTTTCTGTTAACATATAAATGTTCATTGTCTAGGGGTGCCAGTATAGCCACATGTGTTCCATCAATACACCCAATGAAGCCCGGAAAACCTCCTCTGGCCATGAATGTTTGTTTCAAACGATTTTTTAAGACATCAGTCTGTGGAAAACTGATCCAATCATTGGAAAGTAATCGAACTATAAGTTCTGTCGCTTCGTTTATACAGCTACTAACAGACTGCTGACTGACGGACAATAAACACTCCTCTCCTGCTCCACGTTGATAAGTCCCTGTTGCAAGAAGCCGCAATGTTACCAAAATTCTAGTTTCTTTCGGGATTTTGGGGACCCGAACGCTGTTTTGCATATTGTTGAAACAGATTTGCAACTAAATCCTTATTCAGCACGAACAACTGAACAAATCGAGTGTCTGACAAATTGAATGGGTCACTAGCATCCCGCATAACTCGTTTGGCCAGTGCGAGTTGGCGATTCCGAAGTCTATTCTCTTCTTCATGCACTGTATTCCTCAAAACAGGATTCACCTGCAATCAAAGAAGATGTTGTAGTCAGTAGTGCAATATACAATGGAACTAGTAAACTGTGGCACTGCTGGTACTAGTGAAAAATAAATTGCAGTATCACAGAATGTTTTATTATGAATCAAAAAGTAAGTATATACACGGTGGGGCACGAAAAACTTCCCATCTAGATTTTCTCAGGTGTTAAATGATACATTAAAATACATATTATATTCACCTGTAGAGAAGTTTTTCGTGCCCCACCACACCATGTATAATTAACCATGAACTTTTTATTTATTTTAGTTAAATATTGTACTCACCATGCAAGTTTTATTAAATTGAAAAATAAGTTCAAATTAATTATGGATAACACTAAGGAGTCCAAATTCTCAATATCTCAGCGTTGGGACCAACTAGAAAAAAACTGAGAGCCTCGCTGAATTCTGCTTGAAAAAGTGCTTCAAGAAAGTTTTTACGGAAATCAATAATTTTCATAAACAAAAAAGTTATGATGGTTTCACATTATTGCCCAAAATCGAGAATCGCCCTCTAGCGGCTAAACGGTTTAAGATATCAAAATGCGGTTTGCACCAATCAAAATTTCATGAAATTTGAGCCTCAGAGTGGGGGGTTCATTTTTTTCTATCTCTAAAAATAAAGGGTGTTTCCATAAGAAAGTGTCCACCCTGTACAAGTCTGGATAGATCTGGATGAAATGTGGAAAACTCTGGAAAGCTCTGAATAAGTCTGGATAATGTCTGGAAAAGTCTGGAAATTTCTGGGGCTGACACGCTTTTATAATACATTGAACTAAAAAGTGAAAAATAAATATAGTTAAAAAACCAAAAAACACGCTTTTATAGTAAATTGAACTAAACAGTGTACCTACTCCGTCCGTGCTTCATTTATTATCTTGTAGAAATGGTAAATGCCTACGTTTAAATTGTGAATAAGTGAAAAAACTTTCTCAGGCGTGTTTTTTGTACAACTTTTAGATCAAAATTTGGGTTAGTTTGGGTCAATCCAAAAAAAATTGCGCGCTTCTGGGGCTTCCCCCCTGAATCTGTGCACCGCCAACTTTTCCTCTCACCAGCCGCCACTGATAAAGAGTAATTTTAGTCCATCTATGAATAAATCTTTTTAGGCAGAGGTGAATATTGTTGAACTTTTTCCCATTTTAGTTTATATCGTAGGTGTTTATATTTTTTAGCCTGAATATCGACAAACTAGTGATTTAGCTGTGATTCCTTCGACAAATCTCATTAAAAAAATTCCTTCCATGTCGGTTTGGGTTTACATTTGTATCACCACATTCGAAGAAGACATATTTTGGATACACTGTCACAGCTTGGACTCACTTGCTCTTATAACGAGGTCCGTCAAATAACAACTTCATTGGCAAAACAAGAAATTGATGACAAAGAAGAAATATATGTACCTAAATGTTTGGAAAATGTGACAACTGAGAAAAAAACTACATTTGAGCAACTATTTACAACTTTGACCTGAAGAAGGGAACAACACATGCTATGACTATGGATGTGTTCCAAGAAAAACAACCTATACAACCAATAAGGGAAGAAATTAAAGGAGATAAATTTGCTTTGAGCCAAGAAGATATCGACATAAGTTTGCAACGAATCAAAAAATTTAATAAACCTAAAACCCGCCCTGTACCTTCCAAATTTGAATTACCAAAAATATCCCGAATAAAGTCAAATGTTTCCAAAAAGATGAATATGTCTTGGCGAGTGATGAAATTTATTCAAAATGAGTATTCTTTTCTGGGATGGAGTGATTTTCAAAATATAATGTCTAAAAATAATGTTCCAGTTTCAACAATTGCATATCTACCATTTTTAAACGCTCCCCCCATAGAATTTGATACAATTTTTACCGCAATGGTAAGGTTGGTACAACTGGCAGAAAAATTAAATCAGAATCATATTGTAATCACAGCTGACTTATCGATGTATTCCAAAACCCGTGAAATACTGTAGAATGAGCCACCAGAACTATCTGGCAAAGTGACTCTGCAACTTGGTGGGATGCACCTAACGATGGCATTTATTGCAAGTATAGGCTACATGTTCGCTGATGGTGGACTAACATCTATTCTTGTGGAAACAGATATTTATGCAGAAAATTCTTGCCGTCTACTGCTTAATGAGAAACAGTACTTTTGCGCAATTCAGAGCCTAACAATTGCAGCCGATGCAATGTCTCATTTATTTTACAAAGCACTGGATGCCTGGCATAAAGAAAAAAATGGAGAAACATTTTGGACAAATGAGCTGAAAGAAAAAAATAAACAAAATCATAAAATAAAATATTGAAGAAGCGGGGAACTTAGAAGACTTTTTCCAATTACTTGAAGATCATAATGAAGTGGTAACAGAATTCGTAGTCTTGGGTTGCGATTCATCGAAAACATTCAAATATTGTTTTTTTTTTCCTGGAAACAATCGAGTTACTCTAGAGAATGCTAAGTGCTGGAAGAAATGGAGATTTTGGAAGTCATTTAGCAGCAGTGTATGATTTTTTACCGTATTTATCAGCTGCTGGACGAAACCTCTATTCAAAGTGGCTTCCAGTTTACTTAAGTGATATAGAAAGACTCAGGCAGCAAGTTCCTTACATATATAATTTTCTAGCGAGTGGTAATTTTGTGGTGAAGAAAACCAATGAAAAGCGATTTAATTGCGTAGCGTCAGACATGGCTCTGGAACAATTCATAAGCCGTGATTGTAAGTCGTTCAGGCATTATTGGATTTTCGCGGAAACCATCTGCTCTACTTCGGTGGATGGTAACAAGACATACTTCAGGAGAATATTCTCAAAACTTCATAGGTTTGTACTGATATATTTTTAACTTTCATAATAACATATCCGAAAAGATGTATATATAAAATATAGTTTTTGAGTGTATTTTGGCTTTGTTTTAGAATCTATGACCCAGAGCGAACTGACAAGAAGAAAAGAAGTAAATTCCTTACAAAAAACAAATGAGTGTAATGTACTGGCCGTGATGAATACTACAGAATCTGATTGGTGTAATCCATTTGATATTAACCATGTTCCTTCCTCACTAATAAATATTTGTACGGGAAAGGAGGTACATTCTGATATTGAACAAAGCTTAAATAACTTTATCAATCAAAGTCAGAATAATAAAGAAGTATTTTGGAAGGGAGTCGATAATTTAAACTTTTGGAAACCTAAATCAAGAAATAAAGTCTTGACATTCAAAGAGGGAAATGTAAAAGAAAATCCGAAAAAAGGAAACCCGATAATTGGTTCGGAATTAATGTTTCCAAGAATATTGTGTGCAGCACAAAGAAATGAAATTGACCTGACTACGATATTATCACATGAACTCACACTAGTTCCAACATCCTTATTTTATGACGATGGGTCTATGAGGAAGATAACAAAATCTGACCTTGCAAAAAAAATTGAGGGCGAGTCTAAAGCAACCGTTGATTGCACAACAGTTCAGTCGCTGATGGTAGATGGGATGGTAACTATTCAAGAAATTATTGAAAAAGAAATGATAACGTTCAACGATTTAGTAAGAATTTTTTTGAGATCTGTGATCAACGCTGGGCGTAGATGTCAGGCAACTAGAATAACGGTAGTTTTTGATACCTACGCTAAAAATTCAATCAAAAATGGTGAGCGTTTACGGCGCGGAGATACTAATGTACAGGGTTATTGGTTATAAATGTCACCCCCCTCTATCTTTTTTATTTGACATTTTAGAAAAAAGTGTCTCAAATAATAGTTTTATGGTTAAAATTAAATTTTTTGAAAAACTCACTTTTGCATATACAGGGTGTTTCAGAAAAGCTGGCCGTGCTCCAACTCTCTTATTTTAAATGGAATACCCTGTATATTATTGGATATTCGGATTCTACATAAACTTCTGAGCAGATTTCATTTGATATACTCTATACCTAAGTTCAACTGTTTTGGAAATATTGACAGTTGAAAATTGACTTTTTTGCAACTTTGACAGGCTGTGAAACCTAAACGGTTAATTTTAGAGCAAAACCGATCTTACAATTTTTCTTAGATTTTCATAAGCTATGATTTGACACCAACTTTGAATTTAACCGGAGATTGAATTTAATTGGAATTATTAATCATGGATTAAATTCGAAGTTGGTATGTCAAATATCAGTGTCAACTGATAGTTAAATGTAAGATCGGTTTTGCTCTAAAATTAACCGTTAGTAGAGTCGATAGGGTGATTACTCATCACCCCCCACTCCTATGACGTCACGTTCCTTGACCTTAGAAATGACCTAGTAATGTTCTGACGTCACACGACCTTGGCCTTGAGTTGCTGTGCGACCTCGAGTGTGCGCAGCCATGAGTTGACGCGTGGCCTTCATTTATCTGGGTACACTATTTTATGATAGGGTTGGCAGCATATAGAGAGCACATTTCTTGTTGAAACAGCAAAGAGCATCAATTATGGCAGATGAAGGTATTTCATGTGACATCGAAGGGAGGTGCTTCATCATCTCCTATTTCAGGCAACGAATTGATTTCCCTATCACCGGATTGGATCATAATGATCTGATAACGTGTAGGAGATGTTATGATTCGTGGCTTGAATGGCAGAGATATTTCGAAATGCTTAGATATGGAAATGAGAAGGTACATCGACATGTAACGGTATTTGATGGTGATATGATAACACCAGATCTTATACCTAAATGTCACCTTTGTTGTCATCCATGTTTCCTGATGGTGGATACAGTGGATTGTCTGATATGCCATATGTGATCCCTGCATACAAAAATTGGCCCTTTTCAGGGCCACAAAATACTTTGATTGTAGTTTAGTTGTTTTGGCCTATTTGCTTGTTTGTTAGACCTTTCGAGCCTATGGTAACCCCGCAAAAATCCCCCCGCAAAAATCTGATATGTTAAGTACTTTGAATGCTGGTCCAAAGTGACAGTATGGTCTGGGACTGGGACCCCAAGAAGTTGGAAATCCTTGGTAATCCTTCTAAGAATAAGAGAATATTTTCATAATAGTTTCGAACCGTGAAAAAATCTACCATTTTCAAGGCAACAAAATATTCCCATAGTAGGTTGTTTGACCTAGACAAAATCAGTTTGACCTCGACAAAATCAACTTTTCACAGGGTAGTGAAATATTTTCATAGTATGATTTCATTCAACTACCATCGTGACAACACGTTATCAATATGAAACCAACGGCTATTGTTAAACCCTATTCAATAAATAATGAACGTCTTTGCATGCTATGTGATACGCGTAGTGTTGAAATTAATGAATCGGGCTTCTGTAATTTGTGCGCGAATCCGATTGTGAAACATTTCGTCAAATTGCACGAAATTATTATGAAGAACAAATGTTTAGAGCTGCTCCACGATCAGTAATTTTGCAAAGGTGTAGAAACATTGCTCGGAGATTGGTTCTAGAAGAATTCAGTGAGCCTCAATATGTAATGAGAGCCGAGAGCTTACAAGAGCTTCTGGAATCTTCATTGAAATATTATTATTCATAATAATTGGGCACTCCTGGGTTCATAATCAAAATTTTGAGAACCCCTGTATTTGAAATGTTTCTTTCTCTCTTCCAACGCGAATGGAATTTAAAAAAGGGTGTACCCCTGTCCTATTTGATGCCTCTACATGGTTGAAAAAATATTTTGACCATGAAATGGACCGGCGTTTTTCTCGTCGCGTATGGAATGTTAAAAAAGGCTTACACCTGTCCCTGAGATGTCGACCTTGCTTTCGACGATTAATTCAACCCTCAATCGTGGGTGTCTGGTGGGAATTTTTTTTTCGAAAGAATTTCTTCACTCTTCTTGCAGACCCAAAATTAGTTGTGACGAACAGTTCTTCATAAACGGTTTTTTAATTTCACGCGACTCGGGAAAAAAAAAAAAAAAATCGATGCAATATATTTGGAACCGTCGGCGCAAGAATATCTCGACGAAGGAATCCAGTCGGTTCCTGTGGATCTTCTTGACGACCTGTTGAATCGTATCGGGGGTGCACAATTTTCACCCGATCTGCCAACCTTCGACCTTGGCGGAAATGAACTATTAGACGATGGTTGTGTGCAAATCGAAGCCCTCGAAGATAAACCATCCAAGGACCTGCGACCCGAAGATGTTGACGATCCCCTTAATGATGGCTGTGACGCGGAGTGTGATGAGGCGATGGCCAATTTCCTCCATCAAGTTGAAGATGGGCAGCGGGGTGGACGGGAGAAAGTGCGCGTTTTAACCAACGTCGTCATAAGGCCGCGAATCGTGAGCAAGCTGGAGAAGGCATTGACAATGCCTTCGAAAGTTGCTCGCAATAAGCGGATGTTTTATGAGGCGGTTGATGATGAGAAAGCAAGAAAACGGGGAAAAATATCAATCCCCGCCCATCCCGAAAAGCCTATCCCAATAATTGCGAATGCTGAGGTGATAGAGGGGTGGGGTGTCACAGCCATCACCCACAATAATTCAGCTCGCGCCAGTGTCACAGCCCTCACCCACAATTGAGCTCGCGCCAGTGGAAAGTGAAATGTCGCCACCGCCGCCGATATTTCCATCGGACGATAATGATGAAAAGTTATCGCCAATCATCGGCGGTGCTCAACATAAGAAACGGGTGCGAGCTATAAAAAACAATGTGTGTGTGGAATCCCCCATCGGTGTGGGTAAACATAGGAAATCATTGCGGGCTGTGGAAAAGATTACGGGTGTCGAATCTGAGGAATCTTGTGTGCCTACAGCATCCGCGGAATCATTTCCACAGCCGGATTGGAGCGGGTTTACGCCATCACAGATAGACGCTTTTACGCGCGCAAATGAAGCTGTGAGTGCGTTGAAAAAACAATTGTCGGACATGAACGTTGCCTTGGAGAAACGTAGAAGTGACTTGGTGTATCATGAACAGAGCGCTTCTTAAGCCAGAAACGATATTATTAATTCCGAAGCCGATATCTCCAAAGTGAAAAAAAACTTAGCGTTCTTGTCCAGGATTTTTACTTTTAGTGATAAGTAGTGTATTTTTTAGTTTGTATTATTATGTATCTTTTTAAATAGTGATAATTAGTGTAGGTGTATATTTTTGTTAGCTTTAGGATGTAGATTTTTGTAAATACATGGGTTTTTGTTTGAAATTTCGTTTTCCCAACAAAAAAAAAAAAATGAATGAGGTACTTAAAAGAGCTCAGTTCACGTCTGGTACCTCGTTACGGACTTATTCAATAATCTAATACATTATCGAATAAGTCTAACAAAAAGCTCTTTAAAATTTTGTCTTGTGGATTATATAATAAAAATTGAAATGCCGAAATAAATCGTTTTATTTCCCTATTAGGTACCCATTAGCAAATACGTTTTTATCTTTTGTGAATACACATAAAATAAATAACTATTTGTGTATTAAGAATGCGCTTCTCGATGTTGAAACTATAAATATTTCATGCTCGCGATTCTGGTGTTTAAAAAAAAACAGTTGCATCTAGGAAATTCTAACAAAAACTGTTTTCAAGGATATATTTTTGTGTTTGTTTGAAATGAAAACAGTTTTTGTTAGAATTGGCTAGATGCAACTGTTTTTTTTTACAGTTGCATCTAGGAAATTCTAACAAAAACTGTTTTCAAGGATATATTTTTGTGTTTGTTTGAAATGAAAACAGTTTTTGTTAGAATTTCCTAGATGCAACTGTTTTTTTTTTAACATCAGAATCGCAAGCGCGAAAAATCTATATTCTCAACATGGAAAAGCACACTATCAAGAGCGCAAAGTGATACATTGCCGATTAACTGAGTGACTATCTCATGAAAGCGATAATTCTACTTTGCCCTCGAATTACACACATGATTTTTTCCACAGTTAAATGATTTTCCATTTAAATTGAATAAATGATAATTTAAACAAATTAAATGTTGATAAATTCAAAACAAACTGTGGGAATGTGCCTATGGTCCCAACTTTGCACCTGATATTGTTCATAATTTACAACAATATATGGATACAGAGTTGCAACCAACTAACTACGATAAATCTTTTTGTGGTCCTAAAAAGAACCATTTCATTTCCAGGGGCGTAGGTAGCCATTCGTCATCATAAATACACAATTACTGACTTAACATAATTAATCAGTCAGTAGTTGAATCTGCTGGATCCAAACACTGTTCCGGCTCCAGAACTGGTTCAGGCCAGTCGCTGCTCGAGTCCGGCTCTACCTGACGACGAGCCTCTTCGTTCTGTAGTTCCTCGAATTCCTGCAAATCCCTCAAAATTTCTAGAAGATCTAATTCTTCATTGTTTTGTTCTGTCTCATCGCTGAAAATGGATGAGCCTCTGCTCTCAGGTCTATCTTCTTGAGCACACATGATGGCAAATGAAAATAATTTCTTAGTCAAACTTTCCAAACTTTTAATACCAATACTACCCAGTGTTGCCAGTGATATATTTTTTTTTTTGCACTAGATTGTGAAAATTTGTACTAAACTAGAAAAAATTATCTTTCCATTTTTATTTAAATTGCTTGTAGAAAAAGAACACAATCGCTGCACACTTTTTAACAAATGGAAATCGCTCCATCAGTGGTAACTTCACAACACCTCTTTGTGACGTCACCACTAATGGAGTGTCTAGAGTCGACATACAGCAGCTGGTGATTCGTTAATCAGATCATCATTTGCGAAAAGGTGGCTTAGCTTGTTAGTCAAATATGAAAATTGTCAAATGCTGTCAACGACGCCAATGTCAACAATGTGTGCTTGCTAACCAAATCCACATCATAAAAATTAAAAATGCTTTATTATTGTTGTTGGACACAAATTTTTTCTCAAACTCAAACTCGAAAAACGTTCTAAAATTGATTGCAGCGTACTTTCGTACACGATTAGATTTTGTACTAGATCTAGTACGAACGTATCGACACTGGCAACACTTGTACAACCATCCCACTCTTATATATCTCAATGTCAAACTATCGCAACCTTCAACCATGTACGACCTCGAGTTTGACAAATTCAGGGTTAATATTCCACAATCCTGGAAACTGATTATCAGGGATTTCCATTTTTTGTGGTATGGTTCCATAACTAACCCAAAAATGATGTAAATTTGAATAATTCGCGGGGTTAATATTCCACAACCCTGGAAACTGATTATCAGGGATTTCCATTTTTTGTGGTATGGTTCCCTAACTAACCCAAAAATGATGTAAATTTGAATAATTCGCGGTTTTGTTCGCGGATAGGAATCATGAATATGGTTTCGCGGCATGAAAATCGCGAAAATGGTTTCGCGGCGACAACGCTTCACGAAATCGCAAATGTAGAACATTGTTGAACCATGGGGGTACTTGGGCCTGGGAAATTTTTCGATATCGTGGGAGAATCTCTTGATCGACGTACACCTGCGATCTGAACTTAAAAAAAAAGCAAAAACCATTCAAGATTGCTTCGATTACGAAATTACACGTCGCATTGTTTCTTTATTGGTGAGATTTTTAACATTGAAGTTTATCAACAAAATTAGAGAAAAATATTGCTAGACATACGTTTAAAAACCATAACAATCTTTAACCGTTTTTTTTTTTTTTTCGAAAACCCGATATTATCTTTCCATAAACTGGGATATTTACTTTTTCTCGTGGGCTGAATAAATTAACAAAAGGTGATGTCGTTTCTACCTGGTTTGTATACCCTTCAGGGTAAGGGATGGTTTTTTAACATTGGAATTCTTTAAAGAAAATATTTTATAAGACACGGAGTTTCCTTGAATATAAATTATATACCTAGTTGATTAAAACATGGTACAGAACAAAGCAAATATTATAATTATTGACTTAATAAACCTGGACATAGAATTTATTAACATTCGACCATCCTTATAATTCTCAACGAGACGAAACCATGAATTTGGCTGCGTGAACCTATAATTTTCCTCCCTAATGTGATTAAAAAACTACTTAGTTCTTCAGGATTATATGAAAAAAAAAACTGTGTTTTTTACATGCGTTTATTATATAAATAAATGGAAACTTACATCAAAAAATATCTATTCCTGAATAAACATGAAAACTAATACAAAGACCTATTTGCTACTGAACCGTTCAACATATTGTAACTGAAATAGGTGTCATGAATTATTAACGCATAAACTTTAGTGTCTTTTGGAAATTTGTTGTTTCTAGTTTGAAATTCTATCTTCACGTCGACTGTAGAGGATTTTACGGCTTCCGGTTGTCGACTGCAGTCAATAATAAATACAGGATTTTGTAAATACTCTGCAAAATCCAACATTGGTTCATTCATTTCGCGCCCATAATAGCTACTTTGGAAATTTTCATAGTTGTAATATGCTGGTGAATACAGTTTCTTTGAAAATTCTAGATTCCATCTTTTATATGGATATACCGAGGAATTCAGGTATAAGCGGATGTCATACGGTTTATATGTGTGCTCTTGTAAACTAATGATGGAATTGTCGAGAATGGGTCCTGTAAAGACATCAATCTTGTCGCTGCTAGTCATCATTTTTGCTTTCTCGGCTTCAATTTCAAACCACAGGTTAATTCCAGAAAGGTACGATCTTTTGCGGACAGTTGCTGCGAATGTGTTGTCGATCTTGAGTTCAAGCTACGAGTGAATCTTTCCTCGGTGTCTCTCCTATTTTTATTGGTATTTTCAACAGATTTTTGAATAGATTGAAATCTGTGCAATTGACGATTGTAGCAAAACCCCATTATTACACAACAATTTTCTTCAATTCCAATTTCACAATAATTTTCTCTCCACGAAAGTCTATCAGGTCTCCTTGATCATCCAAAATACGTAATGTGATGTTGTCGATGAACTGACGTCCATCAGGCTTTACGGGTAAATAAATATTGTTTTGAGGTTCTTTTGTAATTTTGTAACCTGGCTCAACTTCTATGTCAAATTCAAACAAAGTGTGACACTCACGAGAGTTCAGGTAGGCTCCCGAAGTGATATTACAATCTATACGTATAATTCGCACTTTCATAATATCTACAGGAAATACGGATTCATGTTTCACACCACTTTCCAGCGGACCACTCTCACATCTTACCGATGCTATTCGCTACACCAAAATCGATATCAAGCTTGGATTTCAATTCACATTTTAGCGTATTGTTATTAGCTCTCAACGAAAATAGATTAGTATCACCATCTTTCGAGGATGCTCGCAATGCTGCAATCATAGCACGCTCGATTTCGACGATTTCGTATGCTCCAGGAGGAATAGTTACATGTGAAATTTTGGGACTACCTTTTTTACTGTATTCAAAGGCATTGTTGCTTTCTTCAACATTGAAGATAGAGTTGTATGTGTAGAATCCTAAAAGGGCCAATCCGTATCGATTTGTTCTATCCAACTCGATGGGTGGGAAAAAATCGGCACTTAAAACACTGCTACGTCCCGTTAACGTGAATGTGCAGGACATGACTGACTGTCAAATCAACTACGCATCTATTTTATTGTTGATTACAACAACAAGCTAGATCGTTAGGAGTTTGTCGACTTCTGCGTCTTTCAGTTGATTGTGTGGAGTTTTTTGTAGTTATCTTCACATCACCTGTCTTACAATAACAACAAAATAATCTTCTCGGGATGGACCCATCACCTACATCATAATTATTTCTAACTCCATTATTGCAATGTTCGCCACAATATTGATACTTTAATATATCTACATCCCTCTGTAGAGCTTCAGGTAACTTGTCCCAGATCAGTGCGATTTCTTTGGGTGCACACGCTATCATAACTTCCTTCGGCATATTACCCAACTGCTCAGATGTCATTTTGAGTAATCCACCCGATCGGGAGAATTCTTTTAATGATGGTGCCATCTTTTTATAACTATCACGATCCATCTGTGGCGTTACAGACACGGTTGGTTGTGACTTTGTTTCTATGATGATTTAAGGAGAAACTCTAAACACAAATGCCCACACCAAACTGTCCCAAATTGTTGTTGACGGTCGTATGTATAGTAAATATTTTTTGCAGCCTCTGGTTCTGTTTTTAGATAGCGTACTAATTCAATAGATGGTGGTAAATCATCAAAACTGTCATAGTATGTTATTTCATCCATATCTTTTCGATAGGCCACCCAATGTGTCCCTACACCACGCATACTATCCAAATTAATAATTGCTGTCTCATGTCGTCGTGCACCGTGTATAGGTAATTGTCTCTCATATATACACCTCTAAAATATGGTATATTCATTTTTCTTGCGTACCTCTCTACATCTATATTGGATAGTGCTCTTTGGGGTAGGGATTCGGTTAGTTTTTTGATTTATTATGCATGAATAATCCTAATCCCGTTCGATATGGTTTCAGATACAATCCGCTTCCTCGCGAATTAAGATATAAGGTGGCTCCTGTTTTCTCAGTGTTAGCATTTTTCACAGTTTTTATTGCATGAACTATTCCACTGACCCCTCCTGCTAGAGATCCTAATGCTGAAAGACCCGCAAATATTGGTATAAGAGGTAACAATCCTCCAACTTTGGGTATTGGAAGAGTTCTTGGTGTGTGAATCTTTCGCCTGCCACCGACTGCTTTCACAGACTTGCGTGCAGCTGCCATTGCTATTTTAGAAGCTTTTAGGAATTTTTTTTCAACAAATTTCGGTCCTCCAGCTTTCATAAGTTCTGAACGAATTGGTCTTCTAATAGCCGATCCGAAAGCTACTTTTTGAACTTGCTGTCTACTTGCCCGTTTTTTGTTAACCCTTTGCACACCACCATTGCGTCGCTTTCCTTTGTAGCACCTCTTCTTTTTCTTCAATACAGTCGATACACCCATCCCAAATCGTTGTTTTCCTTTCATGATATTTGTTACTAACCAAGCAGCAGCCCTTTCACCGATACTAGCGTCTTTAGATTTCACTCTCTCCCAAGCTCGTTGCTCCAACTCGTAGTCTGCCTGATGTCGGGCACTCAAATTATTTTTATTATGTAGATATAATATATCGTGCTTTTTGCATGCAGAATCCAAGAGATTTATACCTCTGTCACCTCTTGCCACACGTTTTCTAACTTTAGTGCCAGGACCACAATACTGGTAGCCAGGAATATGTAACTCGACCGGGAGACTATTAATTAGTGAGTTTATAATACCACAACCAGTCTTATTTGAATAACGAGAACGTCCACTTCGTTTGACGATTGACATCTGAATGATAAATACCTTAAACAGTTTGAAATATTTTTTATTTGTGTGATCCTGTGTGTATGACAAAACATGCGTTTTGTTAACTTAAAACAAAAGTTTGATATCGCAAATTTTGATGAAAAAGTTGGATCTGGACATACACAAAAGGAATACCGGAGACATGGTCCTTTGCTGCCCCGTTCTGTTCGCGGTTTGTTGATCGGACCACCAAATTGCGGGAAAACTAATGTCATGATCACGTTGCTTATTCATCCTTTGGGATTACGTTTCGAGAACGTTTACATCTATTCAAAGTCACTATACCAACCGAAATATGAGTATTTGAGAAAAATTCTATCGCCTATCAAGGGGATGGGTTATTACACATTTAGTGATGCATCCAACATTGTGGAACCATCGGATGCCAAACCAAACTCTGTTTTCATTTTTGATGATGTCATGTGTGAAAAACCAGACATAATAAGATCATACTTTAGTATGGGTCGACATAAAAATGTTGATGCTTTCTACTTAGCACAAACATATTCCCGAGTTCCAAAACAACTTGTACGTGATAATGCCAACCTTATTATTATGTGCAAACAAGATGAAATGAATTTGAGACACATCTTCTCAGATCATGTTTCTCCTGACGTAACCTTCACACAATTTCAAGAAATGTGCTCCAAATGTTGGAATAACAAATATGGATTTCTCGTTATCGACAAAGATAGTGATTTAAATTCAGGAAGATATCGCAAAGGATTTGATAGCTATATATTTGTATAATTTAAACATATGCGATTCATTTCATATGTGCACAGTACTGAGACAACACCATGAATAGAGAACTTGATTTAAAACGTAAACTAGTAGCTGTTACAGATGCAGTTAGAAAAAAATTTAAGCAAATTAAAACAGAAACAGCAAAGGATAAATTCGAATTGGAGAGATTCTATGAACCGATCACTAAACCATTAACATCTATCTCCAATGACGTAAAACAGCAAAAACGGAACATGCAACCAAATGTACAAACAAAACCACGAAAGCAAAGTGTGAACACATCGGTTGATACATCAGAAATATTTGAGGAATCACCATCAATAGCAGAGAACGCATCATACCAATCACTACAATCATCTACACCGATAGGTGTATCGAGAAAGGAACAACTATTCAAGACACCGCCATCATCAGTTAAATCCGCTATATTATCTGATCATTCTAGCGGTAAAACGTCTATAAAATCTATGAGATATCTTGAAACATTTTTGAGCGGTCTAAGTACAACACCATCTCAATATGATACCGTTTATGGGGTTCATTACGGTAATAGTAGTAAAACAAAAAAGAAGACATACATTGGCAATAAGGAAGTACGTTTTATGGATGGAAAAGTATCATTGTATGATGACCTTTCGAGAAATATTGCCATATTCAATGGAAGCAGCGAACTTTACGATTTGTTGTTTTTGAAAAGTCCACAGGTGTTGGATAGAGTGGATGAGATGAGTCCATCTGTACGTCAAAATTACAGAGATATTTTAGATTTAACAAATGCCGTATATCATGGCTATGATAAAAAACGTGGACTGACGGAAACTAGGTGGGAAAAATATTCGAAAATCATTAACCCCTTGATGCGAAAAACGAAACTGGGTGAAGGTATTCGAAAAAAGAACAATAAATCTACCATAAAGCAAAAAAAACTTTTATCATGTCAACGTCCCGAATATGTT